GTGTGTTTTGGGGAAACTTCAGCACGTGAAAGGATGACTTTCTACTGAATGTCTTGTTTTTCGCAGAGGACAAAAAGAAGAACTGCAATTCGATTTATGTCCACGAGCTTCACAAGAGCTAATCTAGGCAGAATTGTGCGTAATGCCTATGCGCTGTAGTTGTCTGGCTGCTCACCTGTGTGCACTCGACAGTGATCCTTCATGTGGTGGCGCAGCTTGAAGGCCTTGCCGCAGAACTCGCACTTGAAGGGCCGGTCGCCGGTGTGCACGGGCAAGTGGGTGATGAGCGTGGACACGTCGGGGAAGCTCTTGCCGCAGAACTTGCAGAGCACCACGTTGCCCTGCTCGCTCTTGATCACGCCGCTGCCGCCGCCCGCACTCGTGCCGCCGGCGGAACTCGAGGCGGCCACGGCAGCTGCGGCGACGGCGGCGAACTCAATCTCCATCGGCGTGGCCAGTCCGTCGGGCGGCTCGAGGCTGTCGCCGAGCATGGACGAGCGCGACGAGGCGGCGGCCGCAGCGGCCACAGCCGCTGCCGCCGCCGAAAAGTGCTGCGTGGGCGACGCGAGGTCGGCGGGGTGCGGCTGCGGCGGCGGCGGAAGCAGGTTCGACAGGTGGCTCGGATGCAGCAGGTGCGGAGTTTCGCGGTACTTGAGCGTTTCCAGCGAATGCGACAATATGTGACGCGTCAGTTTACTCTGATGGGGAAACGAGGCACCGCAATACATGCAAGGGAAAATGGGCCCGCCGCCGCCCGCCTGATTACCCCCACTCACATGGGCGTCCGCCGGCGTCGCTTCCTGCAACCAAACAAAAATCCATCAACTTCTTTTTCTTCATCGTTCATTGGCATTGGCAAATCTTTTCAAAGAGCTCTTTCGATACTTGTTAGAATTTTGGCAAATCTTTCTGGCAATCTGTTCTCTTTTCCATTATTATGCCCTCTTTGAGCTTACGTGTCTCTACTTTTAATTGTTTGTTACAAAACTCTAGAGGTCTTTTTTTTTCAAACTGACTAGAAAATTTGTACTTTTTCTCGCTTTTCAATTTGAATTTTACTTCAGTTTTTACTCTGTACGACAGGAAAATGATATATTGAGAAAAGGAATAATATAATGGTAAAGAAAACAAAAATAAAGAGATTAGGAGAAAATAGCCAAAAATTAAAATTTTACATTACTGAGGATATTTTCTACTCTAAAAATATTTGTAAAAAGTATTAATTGAAATGTTATAAAAACAAAATTCTGAATCAGTCAGAATGGGATAATACAATCGGATACTTTACTGTTTTTCCAAAAATTATTATTATTATTATATTTTTTTTAGTTGAAAAGAAACTAAAATAGTGCACAACTTACGTCCACTCTTTCGTACAGTGGATATTTCAATTTCTTTTATTCTTTCAAATGGTCTTCTCAAGTTTCATTTGAGAGAGAGACAGAGTAAGAGAAGGTAAAAAATTCAATTATTAAAAAATATAATAATAAATTGGTAATTATGGAATTAAAAGATAAAGTCAAAAGTTCTACAAATCAACAATTTTATATCATCTGGAAAAGTTTGGATATAACAAAACAACTAAATTATACTGTTTGTTAATAACTTTGTAAGAGTTTCTTTTTATCATTTCATTTATCTGTGTGTTTACAATTCAACTCTTTCATTTTATCATTTCTTTGTTTTCATGAATACTCGAAAGCGACAAATTCAAGAAGTTGAGGTTCGATTTTTGTCTGGGAGCCGGACTTACATTCCAAATCCACATTTATTCAATCTCATAACAATTATAAATATAAGCAGATTCTTATTCTTTCCTTTTGGTATGTAAATTTTTAACTGGACTATTTGAGTTTTTATCAAGAGTGCAGAAATTTCAGTTTTTTCTTTCTTTTTTTTCTTTTTGCCCAAAAAGTCTCCAAAGATTTTTGCCATTTCGTGTGACATTTTGGAAAATTTTGACATTTTCACGTATGACAAGGAATATTCCAGTTAAAAATTGTGTCAATGCAATTCAAATTTTTTGTCTTGTTTTTGTTCTTTTGGTAAAACAAAAGCGGTTCATATATTTCTTCATTGCTTGAAATTTTGGTTGGTCCATTGCACAGTGATTTGATATCGTCTTGGCGTTAAGAAGGATACAAACAGAACAAAAAATATTTTGTAAAATACTTCAATCATCATATCTTTTTTGCTTTTTCCAAGTCAATCAATCATCAATTTGAGAGAGATAGAGAGAGAATAAACTAATGTGATATAGTAAAAAATATAGTAAAAAATTCATCAAATATTATAATGAATAATAATACTGTTAAATATTATATATAGCACAGCCATATCCAAAAAACGTAGATCAACTTCTTGACAATAATTGATAAAGTGAACAAAAAATTAAAAGAGAATTAAAAACCAAAAATAACATTGAGAATTTATAGAGAATTTTGAAACCAAAAGTAAAACACATTGAATTAAGATACACAGTAAGTTGTAAGATATAAATTATTACACCAAAAAGACATCAATTTTGTAACATTTAAGATATATAGAGTAGAAAAAGACATCTATTAGTATTAAGAATCATTGCAAATGTCGATGTTTGATTTTGATACCAAGAATTTGGCCAGAAAACACAGTTAAATGCTTCTTCCCTTGCCCAGAAATTAGTGCAAAATTTAGTCTCCCAAGTTCAGCCCTGAATGCATTGTATGCTTTGTGTAGTGTGTTTTGCATAGATGTCAGGGGAATTGATTTAAAATTCCCCGCTAAAGCTCACTTTTTCTCTCATCTTAAGAGAATGCACAAAACGAGCGAGAGAAAGAGAGAGAGAGAGAGAGAGAGAGAACTTCCCAACGCGCTTTTTTACTGCACAGACACTCTTAATTGTTTCTTTCTCTTCTAGCCTATTGTTCCGTCACCCCCTCGCGAGCAACCCACTGAGGGTGGTGGCAGATAAGAGACATTTTTCAACCCTTTCAAAACTGAGCTGATGAAGAACTCATCAGCAACTTCATTGAGTTGACAATGGAGGTAAATTTTGCGAGCTTGAGTGAGAGCGAAAAAGCATATTTCAGGTCCTCCAGCGACCTATCCACCACCCCTCTACCCACCCCGCTCCGCCGACTTGCTCGGGAAAATGCGAAAAGTTTCCCCCGTGAAGAGTCGCACCGGGCAAAGAATGCACCGTGAAGAAAGTCCCAAAGACTTCACGTTTTTTTTTGTGCAAAATGCGCCCGAGAAAGAAAGTTCTGTGGCCTCTTGTGTGTGTAGGTTTTCATGGAAAATGTCGCATTTCGCTGTGTATCGATCTGTCTGGACGACGAATTCATGATTCTAGGACATTATAGTGCACACACAGCACTCTTGCTCTACATTACAGTGGCCAAAAGCCATCGGATTACCACAGTGATTTGGTGGATGAACAAGTTTTTGGCCCAGGCGCCAAATCATTCCACCCACAAATGCACCGCTGCATTGATTTTAATTTGGAAGCAGAATTTTTGTCCAAAAAGTGGTTTAGTGAAAATTAAGGGTATTTCTATCCTGCTCTAATTAAATTGCAGTCATGTGAATTGTGTATTGAATATTAATTGAAGGCTTTTCTCAGCACTGCGAATGCTTTAAAACATACTGGATTCTTTACACGTTGACACAAACTTTAAATATCTCAAGTTGAGTGTTTTTAGGCTTCAAAAGTTAATCAAGATTGTCTGTTTGGACTTCCTAGCAGTTCAGCGAAGGTTTAACTCGCCCCAACTCTTTCGCATCGATGACAACACTGATAGAGAGCTTCAATCTATAAATTATTACTGCTTGGGCTTTTTTTATTTCTTTCGTCCTAAAATTACTGTCATGTTCATGTTCCCAATTTAATATGCAGAAACTCTCCAAGTACATCGGAATGTCCTTATAAAAAATGCATAATGAACTTTCAAACATTCTTCAGGCTTTGCATTTTCCTGAAAACCACTGGAAATTTTTGCCCCTGTTCGATATGGTATTGTGCAAGTCTGTGCTATTACACATTGAACTTCCCATTTTATCTTTTTTCTTCCCCACTGCGAACTCTCTGAAAGCTCTCTTTCTGACTTGTGTCTTTCTTTCTCCTTTCGTGGGTGGCTTTTGTCTCCCATATTATATAGGCAGTACATAAGTGTGTAAGTGTACGTGTGTTTGTTGTGTGGAAAAATAATAATTTTCAACGACGACGACACAAAATCTCGTGCAACATTTACTATATAATAAAACAGTGAGTATAGGGCTTTTGAGGCGAAAGAGTGTCATGCAATTTGGATTTTGAGCATTGGGGGTGGGAAAGGAGGTGACTTGAGAAAGAGCGAGAGAGAGTGGGAAAGAGAGTTGGCGGATTAATCGATTTTCTCCGCACTCTCGTTCTTTTTCTCTCCCGGTTATTGCTTCTTGGGGAATTTATCGCAAGAGGTGGACAAGGAGGAGGAAAATAGAGGAGGATATGGCTTTCAGTGTGGGAGAGAGGAGGTTTCATAGTGAAAATTTTCTTCGATTTATCAATTTCTTTTTTATTCGTTTTTCAAAGCTTTCGCCTTTTTTGTCGCGTTTGTTTGTCTGCAGAAGCTCCATTGCACTTTCGTCATTGGAGTATTTTTGACATATATTGTTTTGTTGGCACATGGAATATAAAATAAACCAAAAGTCGAAAATATATTCTGGGTGTATGCAGAAAAAAGAATATCACTGGGCTTCTCTAACAGTCTCTAGCCATGCAACATAGAGATAAAGTGGAATGAAAAGACGTAGCAAGTTCTCATGAGATTACATTTAAGTAATGATTTACAGCGATATTCTGACTTCTTCCATCAACTTTCAGTTGTTTTGAGAAAATAATAATGCTTGACAGTGGTGAAAACTCAAAGACATCGAGGAAAATGGTAAAGAAACACATCGATAGAGTATTAGAAAGACATTTAGATGTAACAAACACGTAGAGATTGAGTAAAATAGGGTAAACTAAACGCATTACTCACTGATTCGTGGGAGTGACGATAGTCTGACGATGAGCTGTCCTTGTCGTCTCCTCGATCCCAGTCGATCTCCTTCTTCAACGACTGAAAGAGGATGAAATTGTGCATGAGGTCAGCAAAGAAGTCATTTATCAGAAGCCCCGCCCATTCGAGTGCCCCGCCCTTTAGCTTCCTTCACCCAATGTGAAGCCCTTCATTTCCCGCAAATCATTTGCATTTTGCGCCCTCTAGGACCCCACATCGAGGCACTCACCAGTGGCACCTGCTGCACGGGACCCATGCCCGATGGGCCCGCGATCGGCTCCGGCATGCTGGGACTGACCTGAGACGGAGGCCCGACGCCTCCGCCGCTGCTGTTGCTGCTGGAGATGCAGGTGGCCGTGGTGTGGCCGCCGCGGGATGCCGGCCTCACCTCGGACGAGGACAAGGACGCAGCGGGGATCACAATGGAGGATGTCGCCGGAACGGTCGAGTTGAGCGTCATATTGAGACCTGCAGTGAGGGAGTACAGGTGAGATTCTTTGCATTCCTCTTTGCCCTCTTCATTCATTCATGATTGGCTCTGAGCACGGAGATTGCCAAAACAAAACGGGTTTCCCTCCTCCAAAGCTACTGACCGACTTTCAGAGATGACGATGGAAGGAGGGATGATAAAGTGTAGAATCAAGAATTTTTAAGCGAATTGCAAGCTTCAGAATTTGGAAGTCATCAATAAAAATCTAAACACCCTCGCAATACAATTTGCCAAATCTATAAACCATTGTTCGAATTTGGCAACCAATTCTAATTATCTGCCTAATCGCCGCGTGAAACATTGAAAGCCTATCTCTCACTCTTGTTCATCATTTTTTCACACACCCAGCGTTTTCCCAGTTGTATGCAAATCAGTGGCGCTTAAAATTTTCCGGGCAGGGATGGAAATTTCATTACGAGGGCGGTGCATAAACATTTGAGAACTAAATTAGTTCAGTGGACGTCATCCGTGTTTAGAGTGACGTCAACGCGACTGAATTTTGGCAATTTAATCACTTTATGACGTCCGTGTAATTTATTTCCTTTACACCCTGATTCGCGGTTCACAATAATGTCCTCACGTTTAAAGCGTAGTGGATGTTTTGGGTGTTAAAAATAAACGCAGCATTTATCTCTTGGCTCTTCGGCAGGCGGCGATTATTTAAATTGATTGCATACTCAGATGAAGATGTTGAAGTGCACGCGAACATTTGCGGTTTGGGTCAGAGGTCTCGAGACTTTGCAATATAGCCAATCAATATATTTAGAGATCGTTTTATATAATCTCTCAATCTTGTTCAAATTTTATAGCATTGCAGATTACGCCATACAAATACTGCCTATATAGTTGTTCGGAATTGCTCCTAAGCGTGAGAATGGGATTTCGCCAAAGTATCGTGCGGAACTCACCAACGTCGTTCGACTGCATCATGTGGTCATCCTCGTCGTCGTCGTCCGGCGAGGTGGGGCGCTCTTCGGCAGGGAGACAGGTGACTGTGGTGGTGGTGGTCGTGGCGGTCGTGGATTGCGTGGACAGCCTCAGCGGCTCGTCCTCCATCGTCACCTCCATGGAGGGCGGCCTGTCCGGGTGATCCCTGGGCGCGCGGCGACTCCCATAGAGTGCCAGCGGAGTCGGCGACGACGACAGATGGTGCCTGAGCGCCGTGGGCGACGGCGTCCCCCTCTCGCCAGATCCCTGCTGCTCCCGGCTGCTGGACCCAGACACCCCGCCGGACGTCGCCAAGGTGCTGAGCGTGGTCTTGAGCGGGGACGTGGGAATTGTGTCTGAATGCTCCGATTTCAGCGGAATACTCGAATGGGATCGTAAGCGGTCTGCGTCTCTCTCAGATTCCCGAGGAGCTGTGCTCTGATTTGTCATCTCTGCCAAACCTTTCACCTGAAATAGTGTGCACAAAATCATTATTATGAATTGCAATTGAGGGATTGTTTCACGCGTCGTCTCACCTTTAGAGACTCGGCCGTCTTGAGAAGTGCTGATAACTGGCAATATTGCACGTTCACCTCACCCTTGTACATGAATTCCACGAGTGTTCTCAATTCGGCGAAGCGAACGTCCTTCAATATCACAATTGGATGTCTGGCAGGATGGTCCAGAAATAAACTTTGGAAGTAGGATGAGCAAGCCGACAGGACTACCTGTGGAGAGGCAATGAAATTGATATGAAGACATTGTTGCTCAGTCGCACTTAATTGGACCGAAATCTTTCCAATGGACACACAGTGTGCACGGCGAATGCAATCTGCCTGGAAGCTGCACTCTTGGCGAGAGAGCTTGGAGCTGAGAGTGCATTAGAAACACAGCACCAATTGGAGAGGCCTTTAAGAGGCATATGATTTATTTATTATTGCACATTTCTCAGTATTTTTCCAGAAATGTGGCTCTCTGGCGATATTTGCTCATGTGCGAGGGAGAAGTTTAGCATTTAGGTGATTGATTTATTATTGGCAGGAGAACAGATTAGTGGAGAGGGCAGTGTTGCTGCCAGTAAAACAATCACATGAAGAAATGGAACTGCGAGATGAAGTCATGGAGAAAGATGTTCGAGAGAGCGAGAGAAAAGGATGCACGCAGAAACCACTAAAAGAAGTCATTTCTTGCAATATATGTTTCTTATGCGCCGAGAGAGTCTCTCCACCTCATTTAACTACACACAACTCTTCTGGGTCGGACATTTATGCCATTTTATATGCATCTCCCACCTTCCAGAGGCGGAAAAATTTCAATTATTGCCAAATGCGAAGCGAATCGGGAATGATATTTAAACAGGCATCTCTCGCATTTATACATCTCTCTAAATATGACGCAAAGGTAAACATGAGAACCTCGGCATGGAGAAGTCTTGAGAGATTTCCCGTGGAGGCGCCTGGTGGCTTCTAAATTGCTCAATTTTCTTCTCCTTTCACTCGTTCTGGTCAGCAAATAATTCACCCACTTTCGTGATTTATTCCCTAATATTCACCATATCAATTGAGGCACTATATCTCTCTCTCTGTGCTCACTTATCGCCACGGCGAGAGGCACAGACAATAACTCAGGGAGAGCTCTTGCGGTGTGTGTGCAAAATTTTTAAAAGAGTGCGCGCGGCCAACAAATTTAAATATCGTGTTCCACGGCAAGACAACTTCCTGACTTGCTCTCGTGGTTGCTTTGGTGTGACAGAAATGGCTCAATAAATTGGTGTTTTATCATTCCCTTTCGCCATTCGCTGCCGTCATACATCTATTATTTGCTAAAACCTCACCAGGGAAGTAAAAGTGTCAGCGTATTGAGAATTTTACGCAGCATTAAAGGGATTTCCACGGGAATGAAGAATTTATTTGATAGTTTGAGCAATTTTATGAGAATTCAATTTGTGAAGTTGTTAAAGTTTTGCAGAAGAAACAACCAAGTTCTCCTATTCAAGTATGATAGAATCATAGATAAATTACGAAAGGAGTATTTCACATGATCATGATGAGATTGAATGCATGGAATCATGTTTACTATGTAAAGTTCAACTGAACTGAGCTGATCCTATTGCCTGGCAAAAAAAACCTGAATTTACAGACTCTTAATCAAGGATTTATAATTGTACGTGGATCTATAAAGCAGGATAATCAGTGTTTGCGAGCAACCTTTGCCTGCTAAATTATTTCCAATCCACACAGCACATAAGAACGGTAATTCTCATAGAGAACAGTTCTTACAACTTCAGCAAATTTGAAAGTCTCAGCAAATCCTTGCTGCTCTTCTTGCCCGTGAGACTTTCTGCCTATGCGAGAAGACATGGGAGAAGAGTGAAAAGTTAATTAATGCAAAATGCGTGTTAGAGAAAAAGTGGAGGTAAAATTGTGTGCACGACATTGCACAATATACGCAAAAATGTGTAGCCCATGGGATTGGGAGAGTGAGTTATTGAGGGGGCGGAACTCCCCAAGTTGAAAGTGGGAGGAGGTGGAGAAAAAGTTTTTAGCATATTTACACACGCTGATGAAACATGTTCCTTCATGCACTGTAATTTATTCAGAGATTTAGAAAAGCCCAGAGCTCGCACCAACATTTTGGACCTCCACTTTGTGGCCACGGCGCGAAAGTATATATATGATATGCGATCCTATTTTGTGTGAGAGCATTTGAAGAATGCGAATGCCCGGATTTTTGCGATGGCGCGGGTGTGAGAAGTGTGGTATTCCTGAAGCTCTATCACGGCGGATAATCGTGTGCAATAAATAAATGAGCTGGAGAAATGTGTTCATGGGTGTTTTCTGATCACTCGCGATACAAAATGCCATGAATGTGTGCAAGTATAGGAGAAAACAGGAGGAAATGCTTTCGCTGCGGGTATTTGAGAAGAGAGGAACTTGGAACTGAATTAGACTAGATTTTATGATTCCTCAGCCCCCGCACTGAAGTGCACAATTTCACGTCAATTGCGAGTGATAAATAAGTCACCGGGGCGATAGGTTGTCTCTTGGGGATCCTTATCAGGCAATTGATTAATTCGCGCGCAAGAAAAATCGAGAGCGAAATTGGGTGACAGTGAATAAGAGTGAGGAGCGACACTTGAAGGAAAAGTGAAATGAATCGACATTTTCCAGGAACTATGAATCCATTTAGTAAAATTCATCCGGAAAATAGATTATCGTCATTGCAACAATGTCATAACGCGATGGGTGCGTAAAAATAGATGCCAAATTTATAATACATCATCGTGAATTAAATTGATAATGCGATAAGAATTTGTGGAAAATCAGTTTTGGCATACTTTCTTTACTGATTATAAATTTTTCGCGAGTTGCGTCGAAAATATTCCATTTCTACTAACGCGAACAGTGGACAAACGTCATCAGTGAGAATTGAAACTCATGCAGGAGACATTATTGTGGTCTCTCTCCTTTTCTCAACACGACGCGAACTACATTAAAATGTCACGCATGCAATAGTTTGTTTTTTTTCCTACTCCAAATCTCTACACTGTGTTCCATTAATGTCGACATCGAGCACTCAAGAAGACTTTCAATTCACGGTGAATCATGTTGTTGTTTAGCAGTGTCGCTCCTCTATGAAATACTTCCCTTTTCCATCTGGCACCAGACAATTCCACGGCAAGAGAGCGTCAAATTTCCAGTGAGACATTTAACAGAATTATATCTACTTAACATTTGACTTGGCTGGATAAATATTTCACCTCATGCAAAGGCAATTGAACTTATCAAAAGTTTTGAATCCGCGAGCGAGAATCTCACACCTTTTCGCCGAAAAATAAACAAGATCTCTGTCTTGTTTATGTTTGGAGCAGTTGCAGTGACGAAATTATGACAATGTCCCATTCAAAATTAATCAACCTTTCCCCCCTAAACACATCTCGTTGTCAACTGTGTACAGAATTTTCTTGCTCACAACATTTCCCCGCGCACAGAAAAGTAATTGGAGTGAACAAAGTGCTCAATAATGCAAGTCCATCGTGGGTATTAAAAGTTAAACAGTTTTTTCTATCCCGCTCGTTCACGATCTATTGAAGGTTTCACGGGAATAAAATTGAGTGAACACATTTTGCTCTGCCATTGGACAACAATTATCCTATCTTCTTGCGTCTCTTGTGATACAACCTGGCAATCCACTCTCCTGAAAGCCACACGTCGCACTATGTGGTTTTCAGTCGCGGGGCAAAAAGCTCATCTCGTGAGAGGAAAAACCGAGTGTGATCACTTGGATGTTGTCGCGATGTGGAAATGCAATTTCCATACAGCTCGTGTGAGTGAAAGAGAGGTGAGCATGATAATGCTGAGAAGAGGCAAAAAAGCATGGAAGATTGTGCGAAGATGGGAAGAAGAAGAGGGATTCTCGCCGGAGCAATGCTCATCTCCACGTCTCTTGACATAGTTTCGCTAGATATAACGTAAATTGCGTAATTAGTCACAGAGTGAACGAATCGTTTCGCAATTTGCAGCAAAACGCTAATAGAACGCTTTGTGCAAAATTCTGTCGATTTCATGATTGAAAACTCCGTGGCTCTCTCCACTCTTTGTCTCCCCTCAGCAACCTTCCTCGCGAGCTCATTTTCGTGTCATTCCACCTTCGGTGATTTTTTCTGCTCTCACTGCACTTGCAATCTCACTGTGTGATCTTCGAGATCGAGGCGCATAAATCACAAAGTTAATCTTGTTCTCATTTTCAATGCATGAGACATTATCTCTCAAGTATAGGAAGACTGGCGGAAGACCACGCATGGCGTTGTAGGGCATTTCGTTGTAGACAAGATGTCATAACAGATACAACTCGACTGCGTCTATATTCCCACTTCCTGCACTTGCAAAGCAATTCACTCAATTAGAAAAATCCTTTCCATTTGCTGTTTTTTTTTTCGTTGAAGAGTAAATCCCATTCCTCACCTAAATGATTTTTAGGTAAAACTGTCCATAAGAAATACACACTCAGAATGGCACACTCTGTACTTCCTTGGGAAAGCCTTAAATCCGACCGACCGATAAATTTATCATAATTTCTGCCGTGCACGCACTAGTATTCTGAGAAAAAGAGCGAGGAAGAAGCAGACCATTTCCGAGGAAGAGGCACAAAGTACAAGGAAATGTGATTTAGAATTGCCTTCTTTTTGTCCATCCTCCTTCCCATATTGCATTATGTATGTTGCGGTGTATCGAGACACACGTGGAAAGAGGCAAAAAGGCGAAGAAGTTGCACATATGCGAGGTGAGGAAGGAGAGGCAAGAGAGATCTTCTCCCCAGTGAATGTTTACAAGGCTCCAAGAGACACGATCTTGTGATATTTTTGCTGTTAACAATAATAAATAAGTTAATTTAGCGTATGCAATGTTGAGGTATTATTTGCAATCAATTGCCAATATAAGGTAAACTATTTGTATATTATTGCTGCAATTGCCTCATTCTTTTGTGCGTTTTTTTTTACTACATTCGCCTCTATAATAGAGATCTATGTGTGGTGCGGAATGGATTGTCTCTCTATAGCCTCAGCACTGCGCGAAAACTGTTCTCTCCTCCGCGTCTCGCACATTCTTGTGCCACCTTCTTCCTTCCCCAATCATCAGGCCACAAAATGTGCGCAATGTTTGTGGTGTTGGAGTGTGGAGAATCGACTTAAAAACACATAAATCACATGAGAATTATCTAATGTGAGTGCAGCAGTACTTCTCTCGCGGTGCACTTATTACGGCCGAGTTGCGAAAATTGATTTTCTTTAACAACAATCAGGAAATTACAATATCTCCTCTCACTCCTTGTCTCATTCACACTCATTTTCACCCATTGCCGAGATAGATTCAGCGACGTTGTCTGTGTGTTGAGACGATTGAAATGTTATAGGGAAATTTGATATGAGAGAAGCGGAGAGACGCTGAGAGAGAGAATGTGCAAAAAGAACTGCTTAGAGTGGTATAAATAAATGGTACAAAACCATTTTAATCGAATTTCTCAATACAGAGCCTCCCACCCTTCATCTGCACTCGCCCAATCTGAAAGTCACTTCTTTCCGCCACGATATTCCAAGTGGCAGACTGAACTGACTGAGAGAGAAAGAGTTCCACCCTCCCACTTTTGAATATTTTATTGAACACAATAAATAAATGAAAGTTGCCATGTCCATAATATTTATCGCTTTTCTCTCTCTCATCAGTATCATGCTTCTTTGTTTGTCGATATTTTGGCAATTGCGTTTTTGGATAGACAAAACACATTCGCCCAAATAAACCATCTGACAGAGTCTTTTTGCCGGGGTTCCACAATACGGAAATTACCGAATTTCATTAGGACCGCGGGGCAGACAGCAACACTGCAATTCAGTTTTTATAAGCGGATGGGTTTATCTTTTGCTCGTTTTACCCATGGCTTCGACTCAACGGTTGGCGAAAACAAACCTGGTTGGAAGCGAACCATTCCCAAAAATTTCTGCATGATTTAAGCCTGTATAGCCACTAATTTTGCAGATAAAATCATCAAATGGCACACGATATCGGTTTCAAACCGTCGAATTTTTGAATTCATACAGAGAACAACAGCGCGTGTGCGCCGCCGCGATGAGCGCGCAAATTCATGGCACTAACAAATTGAATGAACAACGCGAAAAATTCATTTCTAATCTAAAAGGATTTGACTTGTATGTAAATTGAACATAGAGATGGTGATTTTAATTGATTTTAGATGTTCGAGAATTTATTTCCGCATTTAAGGCCACCCTCCCCCGTCGTGAGCCGTCGATATTTAGCATGAGTAGCGCACACGTAACAAATATAACACCACTGGAACAAAGTAATAATAATTAATTCCACGTCTATCGCCTAAGATGTGCACAATCCGCTGTGCCCTCCTTCACCAGCGTGTTCGACCAGACAAACAACAGCTCCAGAGTGAGATTGTTTGTTATGTGGAGCCTCTAATTGTTGGCTCTTTGCGCTCCGCAGATGCTTTTGGGGTTCGCTTTTCAGTATTCGCAGATGGGGAAATACGGCATAATCAATTTCCATGGCTTTAGATCTCAGATATCTTGTGGGTGAGACTTGATTGGACAAATTCACACAATTATCGCGAAGAAGCTGAGACAGAATATCAACTGAAAAAAGTGAGAACTCATTTCTGACTGAGAATTGTTGGATTTACTCCAAAAAACTTATCAGATAGACTTGAAAAGTGTAACAAAGGATTAGAAGTGTAGTTAGAAAAAAGTAGTAAGCGAATATACTCAGAGGAAGGATAAATCGGTCAAATTTTATATCTATTTAAAAAAAATGAAATAAGCAAAAAATATACCACGCTAAACAACAAATTATCTCACTTCAAACACCCGTTTGTACATACATATCATTGCACACTAAAAGCTCCCGGTGGTTTTATTATTCCTTTTTAAATGCTGATTCAAATAATCATTTGCCAAATCTTCAATATTACACTTAATAGCGCCTATTAACATTTAAAACTAAGAAAGCGCAACATTTAAGGAAGCGTTAATCACCGAATCCAGAGACAATCAAAATGCAATAAAAGCCAAATAAATTCCTGATGCTCAGAGATTTGCATATCGCATCTCATCGGTTCTCATCATTTGATTAAAAACCACTTCTGTGAGAGTTAAGATTTGCATTTCAATATCAAAAACGAGACAATCCAGTTTAGTTATACGCAAAAAAAAGGCGTGCCACTGTCACTAATGATCGCCCTGTGCGGATCATGCGATGCCCAGAGTTTCAGGGAGTTTCTCAGAATATATTTTTGGGAATCATTAAATCACTGGAAATTCATGTCCCTGATTGGGTTTCTTTCCTGTCGCTTAATTATTATGATTAGGGTCCAGTGATTTGGCGAGGCTTCGAGAGGCCGCGCTTCTTATATAATTTCCGGGTTAGACACATTTTTATTGCCTATTTATCCAATATCAGCTAAATGTCGGGTCTCGTCGAATACATACACAGGCGAGGGAGTGCAAATGGTACGTCTGGAGCTTCATAAGCCACTGTCGGTGTGTTTGCCAATTTTTTCCGGCCACCAACATCAACTTATTGGGATTCCCGGGAGGTTCTTGGCGTGTCTGTGAATGTGCCTATCTAGAGACCGAATTTTATAATATTTCAGCTTCTCATATCAGAAGAACACCAATCTGAAGAATTTTGAATGGTTCTCAGTGTTTTCTTATGCAATAAACCGCATCGAACGCTCTGATTTCTTCCCAATATCGATAAGATTAATTATATTTATAAAATGAGAGTTTAAACATAAGAGGCATGTGTTTGATATCGCATCACAACTCTTTGAGGCCTAAGCTGAATCATCACGCGTAGTCGTCGTGTCCTCAGCGGCGCAGTCGTTTCATTTGGGTTTATACAGGAAATTTTCTATTGTACGGAATGTTAGCAAATTGAGCACGACAGCGATCCGTCTGGATATGAAGATGGAGACGCGAAGGAGGAAGAACACGGCCGGTGGAAAAAAGTTCACGACACACAATGAAATAATAAAATTGCCAAATCTCAGACTGTATATATGCTAAAAAGACGCGCTCGAAACACACATTGAACTCCCGGCAGACGCATAATTTTTGCGCGAATTAATTTTCTTTCGGCTTCGCTGCTAAATTCCAAGGTCGTGTTGTCGCGAAAAAACCACGCGGTTTCATACATACAAAAGGCGACTTTTTACCACTCACATTGTGTGCCCACTCGACAGAGAGAAGATTCGCGAATTTTTTCCACACACACTTTCGTCGCGCAAGTCTACATCACGCTGAATAATGCCATTAGACCCAGCGAATTGGCCGCAATTTTCGGTGAAATATACACCATTATTTGCCAATTTCTTCTTTCACTCTCACTCTCTTTTTTTGCAAACAGTTTCTTCACCTTGATTTAATTTCCCTGTCGTTTGAATGCCGCCTTTTTCATCGTGACCACTCGCCATTGCGGTGACCTTCTTTTTTCGTCCGATTTCTTGTGTTTGACATGGTTTTGCAGATGCGAAAAGCTCTCCCAAATTGCAGAAATTAATTCCAATGCCAAAAGGTGAAGTTGTTACTTTACGAGCAGCAATTCACTCGCAAGACTTCCCTCCCGGGGAAGTCCATTCCGATGGATCGCCCATTGTAAATTTGTCAATAAATAAATAATCCCTCCGGGGGGAGTGCTTGTCCGCACGGGAATTTATTAGATGTGCAAGAAGATGCCCCAAAGAGTGGAGTGGAAATTGGAGCAAAGCTGTAAAACTTAATAAAGTGCTCAAGAGGAGATCTCTCAGCCCTCCGCAACGTCTTGTGAGTTTTCGTTAACACCTCTCCATGATCGAGTCACACTCAGGTGAATCTCTCGCCACGGCTTTTCATGTCTTTTGCCAATATAATGATAATTGCCGACCTTTTATTACTTTACGATAGATAAACGATTTGAAGTGTGTTTCTTTACAATTATTTTATTTCACTCACGAGGCTAAGTCTGCATCTAATTAGTTTTTCTTTCCTATACACTCGCGCCACACTCTCAGCTCAATTGCGAATCATATCCCAAACATTCAAGGCACTTCGGTTGCAAGTCTGCCGTATTCAAATTAATTAAATTTAATTGGCCGAAGAAGATAAGGGGTGGAAACACTATCAATAGCAATCATCGAAGATTTTCCCTCTGAAAAGCTGTTCCAGATCATAAAGACGTCTAATATGGAAATACTTCGTGCTATCAAACAGTATAGCGTATTAGACGAGCAGACGTTAATTGACGATTTGCCTGATCTAACCATCTATTCACATAAAGGCCAGAAGATCCAAAAATTCTTTACTTTCCAAGAGAGAAAAAAAAAACTATTTTTAAGGACAAAAGACAAGCAAATTCGATTAATTTCCGCAAAATTGACATGAGCACGTAATAACATGACATGGCAGGGTTAACGAGTTAAGCACAGGAGTTTGTTAAATGTAAATTGCCATACGTGCAAATAGTTTAAGGAAAATTTGCACAAAAAAACCACTAGCAATAAATTTGCAATCAAATTCCAAAGAGTTAACCTTGTATTTCATCTGCTGATCAGTGACTCTTCTCTCACCATTGCGAGTCTCTCTCTCTATTCCCCGAATTTCTGTCTTTCGGGCCTTCGCGGAAGCGCGGAGTCTTTTTGGGTGAGCAAAATGGAAACCGGCCCGAGTTGTAAAAGAAGTGCGTGTCCATTGGAAAGATGAAGAGGCGTTCCTCAAAAAATATCTCTGCGTGTGACTTCTAAAACTCAGTCTATATTTAGCCGCCTCTTCGCGCCAATGCAAAGGGGCGACGATGGTAAGAAGGAGAAAAAAATGTCTTCCCTACCTTGTGGGCTCTGATGGAGGCGCCCTCGGAACACGCTAGTGTAACGTCCACCAGACTCTCGTCCTGCAGCAATTGGCTGAACACCCCTAACAGGTTGGATTGATGATTGTTCCACCTCAAGCAGTAGTGCTCACTGCCCATGTCGGTGACAGCTTACGCTGCTGCAACAAATTAATTAGATACACAAAAGAGCATTAAAGTGAATTCTGAGCTATGTGCATTCTTAAAATCTATTGAAGGATTAATTCAATTAACTTCTTTCCTGCACTCGCCGCGCCGCCTCTCCGCGTGCAATTACTCGTGATGTATTATTAAAATTATATTACTCAATTTGAGAGTTGGATTTGCTGCTGAATTAGCATTTGCAAGAGATGGAGTGCTTCTTTTTCTGCCCTTGCTCGCCAGCAACACCTTTTCCCGTCGTCGGCTTTCTGCGCGCGCGAAGAAGGCATTCTAGGTTGGGATCGGGCAGAAAAAGAAGAGCCACGTAGTTAAGAAACATCCCGTGAGAGAGCTTTCAAATGTTGGATTTGCTGAACGCCGAGCGTATGCTCATAGCTTGGCGTGTGTGTGTGTGTGTGATTTTGATGTTTATGCAAATTTACGCGTCTTGTCCAATTCCCGTGATCACTTCACCTCATCACCAATAATCCCATATGTATGGTCGCTTGTCTCTAGTTGTTGTCCATTCTGACTTGGAAGAGGTGTAAAAAAATCCAGTTCACTCCCCGAGAAGCTCCGTAATGTTGAATAGGAGAGAAGAGTGTGTTATTTTAAATGGGAAGAAGTGTTTATTGGGAGCACGCTCAAGTTTTGCAGAATCAACCCAGAAGTGGAGATGTGTAAACACTCTCTGTTGCAATGAGAGAAGAAATATGTAACGAGTGTTTACAAAGAGGATGAGAGGTATAACATGTTGAAGGAGTTGAAAACTTGGAGGAGTCTCAACTCCTAGCTCAGAAGACAGAAAAGAGATACACTCTCCAGCATTGAGAGAGAAAAAAAAAGCATTAACAAGACATTCTGGTGCGTGTTAATTAAGGAACTCGCACACTTCATCCCAAACCGACAAAGTTTTAATTCACAGAGGTGTGCAATTTGGTCTGATTCCTTCTTCCTCGCCGTCGCTCCCCCTTTTTCTCAACCATGTGGGATTAATTGCGCACATCTTTTGCAGAACAGAGCATCCTTCAGACTGTTCTTCTTCTGCGACAACTGTCGCATTGTCAAAACCACTTCCTCACATCTCTCAGGAAAGAACTTTAGTCATGGGAGAAACGCTAAGAGACGAGACATTATCCGGGATTACATTGCGTGTATATTTCTTGGAGTTTATCCCTGCACAAACGCTCCTTTCGCACATATTTCAGTATCACTTGTTAGACAAAAATAGCAAATAGTGCATCGGATTATTTTATTGTTCGAAAATATTATCACAGGATTATTGAAAGCAAAGCTAATTGAGATCTATTGTGTTTGTAAATCGTCGTAATGAGATAATTTAGAATTGCCCACATTAGAGCATAATTTAAGCTCCAGCACAGTGAATTTCAGTGAATGAATTTTAGGTTCTGTCGAGATCACATGATTGACTATTTGGATAAGAAAATGAAGCAACATGAATTCCCATACAATCACTCAAGAGGTGATTGGAAAATATTGCCGAGAAATCAATGTTCAATTGAAAGTCTGTTGCAGAAGACAAAGCAATTTTGACTTATTGATTTAATAAATTATATTTCTCCTCAACATCAAGCCATGCACCTCCTGATGGAAAAAAAAGCTTTCAAGCCACCCCTTGATTCCTCCGTGGCCCCCTTTCTGCCCCCGGCCATGGTTTATGGCACGAAATTTAATTTGAACCCACCCTCGAGGGAGAATGACAGCTCTTGAGCACTCCTCACACGTGGAGTCTTGGGAAAATTTCACATAGAGAAGTATAAATTGATATTAAAATAAAATTACTGTGTGTGGTTTTGAGCACACACTGCAAACTCCACTATTAGGTAATGCAGCAGTGAGTCATCAAAAGTTGCCAACATGGAGTGTGTGAGTGAAGAAAATGCATTAAAGCCACGCAGCTGAAGGCATTTTAACAACAAATACGCCAAAGTATATAATTTTAATGCACTCCCAAAGGGGGCAGGGATGTTAAGTGCCAACAGTGGAGATTATTGCGGTGGGGCGTCGCGAGGGGAGAGGCAAAAAGCTGATTCAAGAAGTGGCAGAAAAAAGTGTCATAAAAAATTGCACAGTGGCAATTCATCTTTAGCGACTAATGCGTGATTTTTTCTCCTTTTTCTTTCGGCCCCTTCATGCTCTTCCCCCCCCCCCCTCATTCACTGCATCCTTTATTATTGTGTCTCGCTTATGTAGCACGTCTTCCCAGCTCCGCGCCTTCTGCGCCTCCCGAGCCCCCATTCAAAGGCCACACTCGTGCAAATTGTACAATTAAAATCAAATAAAAATTACCATTTTACATTAAACCCAATCCAACCGGGCGAGAGACTCTGGATGTGGAAGGGAGAGAAGGAGATGGCACTGAAAATTTCCGGAAACGGAAAATTAATTTATATTTTATCACCGTGTTGCAGTTTGCCATCCAATTAGGTCTGCTTAAAGACAACACACTCCGGGTGCAAATTTTCAGGTGGGAGACACACGGCGCAGCAGAAAAGAAGCCAAATGTAGTGACTTGGGAAGATGGAATAAGAGAAAAAGATGCGCGCGAACCTTTTTTCTGTCCTCAAACCCAAGGCAAAACATGGCATGGAGCCTTTTTTTCCCTACCATAGCCAACTATATGTTTTCTCATTACATATTCAAATTAACCTGCTGCACGGTCCATAAACCCGTCTCACAAACGATTTATGCAAAAGTGAATTTCGTTCGTTCTCTCTCTGTCTCACTCCCTTTTTCCTAAACTCATAACAATTATTTCCGTGCAAATGTTACACCTTCTTCCTCTTGTGGTCACACTGACTTGTTCTTTGTCTTCCAACACTCAATATCCTTCGCGAAACACTTGGCATCATTCACGTGAATCTCTCTTGTCATGCTTCAGTCTCGGAGCTTTCTATCGCTCAATGTTCACTTGCGAAGCTTGTCTAAGGATTTAGCCCTAGAGAGCAAAGCCCTAAAATTTCTGCTCATATGAATATTCACCGTCTTACGCTTGGCATTTTAAACTTATAGTTTCTAAAATGCATCACAGTAAATTTATTGAACACTATCTTTTCGTCAAACCATCGAAGAGTCGTAAACAAAGCGTTTAAATCACACATTATGTTTTCACAATGGTTAGAAACATTAATGGCCAGCAATTGAGAGTCAAGAGTTAAGCAATACAGCTAAAGACTAATTAATCCTTAACTATAGAATTTCTTTGTAATTTCAACTCAAAACATAGCAAGTGTTCATCAGATTTCATTGTTTCCGAATTTGCTTATAAAATTGAGTTGAAATTTCAAGTTCAGAGATCAAAAGTTTAGTGCCACAACTTTTTTATTTAATATGTATTGCATTATAAATTCTCTCCAAGACATTATCTTCTTGTCGCGATAAATTTCTGGAAGTGGCAATAAGTCTTTCTTTCGGAATTTGTGACGAGTAATAAATAAAAAAGCATCACTCTGCGGTATAATTACTTCATGAAAGACGTCCTGAAAGCAAATTCTCTCCTCAATTTTTTTTCTTGAATCATTCCTCATCACTTCCTGTGCTATCTCTCACGTGGTCTAGATTGATCTTTGTGATTGTGCTGCGAAGATTGTCGATATCGTGAAGGGGAGTTCAATCGTGTGTGTTTGCAGTGCTGCCGTTTTTGTCTGCCACATAGCGTATAGATTGTGTATGAAATGAATTTATGGGCAACAAAGTTTATCGAATCGCAAGAATTCAGAAATTTTGCAGAGCGTAACGACATCGATGCAGAATGCAGGCACAAATGAACCGTGCCGTAATTGAGCAAATCATTCATGTGCCGAAACACAAAAGATAATTTCTTTAATATTGTTCACGACTACCACAAGTTTGTCTCTCACTCTTCTCTCTCTTTTGTTATTATGCATTTGCCACTATGAGTAATTTGATGTTGCGTCTCCTTGCTTCTGCATCGACACAGCATGGATTGGTTTCTTTTTTGCCCGCTGCCCAACGTCTTTCCGGGAGCAAATGACTCTGGGGATGGCGAACGTGTGGGGAGACAAGTCGGGGGGCTTTATTGTGTAGGAAATGAGACGAAAGAATCTCAATTGTACCATCACTGAAGGATATATTTGAGAGTGGAAAAATATATTGAGTGCTCTGTGGAGCGACTGAAAAAATCACTTGGTTTCAATTCTACTTCTTCTTGTGCACCTTCCATTTCAAAATATAATGCCCAAGTTATTAAATTATTTCTCCCTTGAAAGCTTCTTGTTTCTCAGACTGCCGCCTTGCGAGAGTGTTATTGCGCTGTGTTGCCCATGGACAGATTGTATGGGTGAGTAATCCTGAGGCGAGGAAAAAAGCCAGAGAGTCACACAATATATGCGCTTTTCTCTCCATCGACAAAAGAAACTTTTAATAGCATAGTGGCTTCCACCCATGTGTCTCTCTCTCATGAGCTTCAAATGCATGCTGCACAAGAAATGGCTTTTCCTCAATCGATTGGCGTTCGTTGCGTTGCAAATTCCATCGCTGGAATGAATGACCAGAGTTTTTTGCACTTAGTCGCCTAATTACGACTCAATTAAGGTCTTTCCCAGCGTGAATTGCATCCGATTTGTATCATTAATCAGCTGGCTATGGGTATGGATGGGATGTCTTTTGATGGACGCCCAGAGCCTCTCTCTCTCCTCATCACTTCTTGAGCACATGAATTGCCGCCTTCTCGCACTGCTATTTCGCCAGACTCATTACTCCAGAAGCACAGCAGTTGCAGAGCAATGTGATACTCACAGCAAAAGTTGCTTTTTTGGGCTTGGAATTAAGACCGGGTCGTCAGATACAATTCGCAGTTAAATCTCTCCCAAATCAGATAGACAAGAACACAGAATATTCCATAGAAATTGCAGTTCTAATAAAAATATCTCCATTCAATTCTGCAATGTAATTCTAATCCATCAGATGACGAACTATACTTTCAATTCACTGACATTCCGCAAAAACATCGCATAGT